AATGAACTTTACTTGTGGGCCCAGGAGTGCCTAACCTCAACCGAGGAAGAACTCCAAGCCGACCCCGCTACCCTCGGACTGACCGCGAAGTAGCATCCAAGCTCCTAGGAACTTGCAAAGGTGGAACTTGCTCAGCGCGCTTCCATGCGGGCGCGCGATGTTGCGTAGAATATTTAAACATTTTCAGCTGGAGCGTGACGTCCTTGGCATGCTTGGCGAAAGGAATTTGTTGTCCCTTAAGGTCCCCGGCAACACTGTAGCCGTTCTAGTTACCTTTAGAGGCACTTATATCTACGTAATGTCAACAATTCCCGTAGAGGATTTGCCGCGACCGCAAACGTTGTTTAACCATCTTATCGACGAACTTGAGCATCATGCTGTAATGGCCTCAAAGGTCGTTAAAGCTAGGGAAGCCCGACTAGATAGCCATCGTCGCACAACCGACTGGTTATGGTCCAAAGTTGAAGTAGCCATCCAACTGGAGCAGCAAAAGCGCAATCGCCGAGATTTTGATAGGCAGCTAGGTCTAAAATCAGCGGCAGGGTACTTCGGTACCAATCCACCTCCCGATGATCGCTGGTGCTCCGGCACCAACCCCAGACCCAGACCCGGAGAACACTCCTGAATCTCCAGCAAGTCAGGCTTCGGGGGGGGTGAGGACTTCCTTCCCTGGAAGGATGCTCAAACTGAAGAGGATATGCATGCAGCCCCTACCCAAAAGGCTAGACCCGTAGGATTAAAGCAGCCTCCATCCACTGATGTGGATAGAACGACCCCTAGGGGAGAGGAAGCCAAGAAAGCAGCCCGAATGTCGGCAGCCGAAAAGGCCATCACCCCTTGCATGTTCTTCGCGTACAATGCATGTAGGGCTAAATCGTGCGCATTCCTCCACTCCGAAACCAATAGATATCAAGGACCTCCTCCTAGAGCACTTGTTAAAGGTGGCAAAGCCCCTTCCAATGCCTATGCTAGTGTAGCAACCGTGATAGTCCCAGAGATCGCCGCCCCTGGCGCGATTAAACCTGTAATCACTGCTATGCCTTTCGAAGCTTCCACGGCCATTCCTTGGCTTTGGGACACTGCAGCAGGTCGTCACCTCATTGGACGCCGGTGGCAGCCAACCCGGCAAAGAATCCCTAACCTTTAATTTAAAACTTTAGTGGCAGCAAGATTCTTGATGGTGAAGAGGTCTATGTTCTTGAGGAATGCCCTCCAGCACAAAGTATAGGTAAAGCAGTCTATAGATAAAGATAAAGGTTACATGTTCATCTGGGATCCACAGGAGAGCGTCCCATATCTAATAGCTCCCGAGAACGTCAATAGATGCAGGCTAAAAGTTCCCAAGAACGCTAAAATCTGCGCATCCAGGGTGGTAGAATATGTCCCACAATATGATGAAGAACTCTCCATGTTCATTTGAACCAAGTGAGCGCCTCGCTCCCGTACCAAATGCAATGCCAGCTTCATCCGTAGGACCCAAGACACTTGTAGAAGTAGATGGTCCCACTAACCATGGAAATTCGTCAATCTCTACATATAGTGTCTTTCCACCCGCAAAAGATGTAGAAACAGATCTAGCACCTGAATCTGTTGGTGGCGCTGCTGGCCTTGCTAGCGCGTCGGGATGCCAAAAAGTCGCTGTTGAAAACCCCAGCGCGCCCAATTCCCCAGTTCACCTAGGAGCTGGTCATCCATTGGGCAATGGTGAGCCGCCAAAAGATAAAATCTTGAAGCAGCAAACCACCAATCCCAAACACATGCGATTAAACTTTTCAAATAGCCCGTTTTACCCCATTAGCCATATAACTAAAGATACCGCTATGAAGTTTTCACATTCCAATGACGGCGAAGCCGATGGTTTTGTTAATTATTCAGAGCAGCAGCACGAGCAGCTCTCACAAAACAGCGTTGTCCTAGATAAAGGCTCCCAAGAGCTTGAGGTATTAACAGGCAAAGTTGAGTCGCATAGAGGTGAAAGCGTAGCAGCCAATGTGCACAACCCAAAGCGTTCGGTGCATGAAGGCGATCTCGTCTTTCCGGTAGGTATGTTATGTAATCATGCCCTCTTCAGGGGGGTTAACCCGCATGACTTGAAATCCCCTAATAATACTGAGGGAGACGTTCCCTGTCATAAAGATGGAGGTAATAATGACCCTTCAACACCTGATCTTAGGAGATGTCCCATGGACGCCCTCGTAGATCATGTCCTCACTGCTGAGGATACGCCTGGATGTGCCACCCACCACACCCATGTGCGGCATTATGCCGATCAACGCTGCGCCCACTTCGCAAACCTGTTTGAAGAAAAGAAACGACATAAAAAGGAAGAGAAAGTATCACTTAACGCAAGCAAACAAAGGGTCAAAAGTGACGCGGATGCTGAGCCCTATGCTCGCATCAGAGTAGGTGAAGAGCTCTAAAACCCAATTCCATCACATTTGTCCCTTGGTAGCAATGAACCTCATAGGATAGTATACAAAGATGGTCCCATGTTGGAGCTTCCCAATCCTGATGTCCCGTCACCCTCAAATGCTAGCGTTTCAAGTGGACTAATTCAATCCCAAGTTGTTTCATCAGCCTCAATCCCTTGTCAGGAGTCGCTTCCGGGGTCCAGCCAACCAACTGGTTGCACTAACCGTAGACATCGGAAAGTTGCCAAGAACGCCTTCAACGCGAATGCTAAGCCAATCACGTCCAAGTTTGCCTGTTCCCCTGACATCCAGAAGTTGTCGGCAAGCGAACATAATGGCATTCAACGTGACAGACTTAGTAGGGATAATATATAGTTGGGTAATGAGTCGCAGTGCGGACTGCTGGGAAATCACACGGCTGAACCCGCTGAAACCGCGCCACCACTTACGTGGACCTCATCCTCCTGCTCACACACATTCCCTTGGCAGCACCCAAAATCACAACGAAGGTCTTAGGTCGAAGGCAGCCGCCCCACTTAGGAAACCTTCCCGGCACACAACTGCCGACACCGCTAAACCATAAGCCAACGCATAGATCGCTGCGAGCGCCCGCTTGCGCGATAGTAGTGCATAGGTGCCTGCCAAAAGCGCAGAGCGTGGTCCAGGCGAGGGGGGAGTTGAAATATATCGACCCCTGAGCCCCCACTACATGTAGCTTAGCAGGTAGGTATAGGGTAGTGTATATAGTTTAGCTATGAGCACCACCTTACTCCAAAATAGTTATGCTGAATACTCAATGAACAGTATAGCACCCCATATCTTGTGCTATAGATATGGAGAGTAGCCGTAGTTAGAAATAGGTAACCTTTTGATTTCCCTTCCCCACAATCACCGCTATTGACGCTTGGCTCAAGTACTATCTACTATCTACTGATGAATCTGCTAATCTATCTACAGATCTACCTACTGATCTATCTACAAACCTGCCTTCTAATTTGCTATTTACCTATCCAGGTATCTGCCTATCCATGTACCTACCCAGATATCTACCTATCCATGCACCTAGCCAGATATCTATCTACTCTATTTACCTATCCAGATATCTACCTATCCATGTACCTATCCAGACATCTATCTACTGTCTTTACCTATCCAGATATCTACCTATCCATGTGCCTATCCAGATATCTATCTGCTCTTTTTACCTATCCAGATATCTACCTATCCATGTGCCTATCCAGATATCTATCTAGTCTAATTACCTATCCAGATATCTACCTATCCATGTACCTATCCAGATATCTATCTACTCTTTTTACCTATCCAGATACTATCCATGTACCTATCCAGATATCTATCTACTCTATTTACAAATCGAGATATCTACCTATCCATGTACCTATCCAGATATCTATCTACTCTTTTTACCTATCCAGATATCTGCCCATCCATGTACCTATCCAGATATCTATCTTCTCTATTTACCTATCCAGATACCTACCTATCCATGTAACTATCCAGATATCTTTCTACTCTATTTACCTATCCAGATATCTACCTATCCATGTACCTATCCAGACATTTATCTACTTTATTTACCTATCCAGATACCTACCTATCCATGTACCTATCCAGACATCTATCTACTGTCTTTACCTATCCAGATATCTACCTATCCATGTGCCTATCCAGATATCTATCTGCTCTTTTTACCTATCCAGATATCTACCTATCCATGTGCCTATCCAGATATCTATCTAGTCTAATTACCTATCCAGATATCTACCTATCCATGTACCTATCCAGATATCTATCTACTCTATTTACAAATCGAGATATCTACCTATCCATGTGCCTATCCAGATATCTATCTGCTCTTTTTACCTACCCAGATATCTACCTATCCATGTACCTATCCAGATATCTATCTACTCTTTTTACCTATCCAGATATCTACCTATCCATGTGCCTATCCAGATATTTATCTACTCTTTTTACCTACCCAGATATCTACCTATCCATGTACCTATCCAGATATCTATCTACTCTATTTATATACCTATCCAGGTACCTACCTATCCATGTACCTATCCAGATACCTATCTACTCTATTTACCTATCCAGATACCTACCTATCCATGTACCTATCCAGACATTTATCTACTTTATTTACCTATCCAGATACCTACCTATCCATGTACCTATCCACATATCTATCTACTCTATTTACCTATCCAGATATCTACCTATCCATGTGCCTATCCAGATACCTATCTACTCTATTTACCTATCCAGATACCTACCTATCCATGTACCTATCCAGACATTTATCTACTTTATTTACCTATCCAGATACCTACCTATCCATGTACCTATCCACATATCTATCTACTCTATTTACCTATCCAGATATCTACCTATCCATGTGCCTATCCAGATATCTATCTACTCTTTTTACCTACCCAGATAGCTACCTGGCTACCTATCCATGTGCCTATCCAGATATCTATCTGCTCTATTTACCTATCCAGATATCTATCTAATCTTTCTGTTTATCCAATCTCTAGGGAAGTTCTGCCATGGCCTCAGGAAGCAGTCCAAGCCATCAAGGATGCCACAGGCAGATCCGCCCACTGAAGCCATATCTATACAATGTATGTTTGTATGTATGTATATCCATGGAAATGTCCAACAAATTTATTCCCTTATATATTTACATGCAGTTTACTTTTGGTGTTTGGGCAAGGCCATTTTATA